AGAGTCCAAAAACAAAGGGACCTGGATTTGGTAACTCCTTGATTGGTGATGTATAAGACCACTATGGAGTTGTTGGAATGCATCATAACCAACTTCCCTCAGAAGATGGAGGAAATGAGAAATGGCACAACAAACAGCTAAAGGATTCCAAAATGTTGACACAAAGCCTGGATTCAGCCAATGACTGAGTCCCAGAAATTTCCTGGGTATCGAGATAGGCACCCCAACCCATAAGAGAAGTATCAGTGAAAAGATACAGGTCCAGATAAAGAGGTGAAAGAGGAATAACAGCCATAGTATTGTCTCTGTCCAACCACCAAGCAAGTTCGGTATAGAGGGAGGAGGGGCAGCCGGTTGATCCAAGGGATCCAAGCTGAAGTTCAAACGATCATGGAATACCTACTGAAGGGAATGCATGTGAGTGCGACCAAGGGAGCACAAATCCACAAAAGAGATAGAACCTTACTAGGTGGAATAGAATGAGAGGATAGGTCCTTGATGACCAACTGCTTCATATCCCGAATATGTAGTGGTGAAGGCTGGTCCCAAATGAGATAGGAATTGAAGAAAACACCCATGTGAACTAGATACTGTGTAGGGGAAAGGAAGGACTTCTTCACTTTGATTACCAATCCACATGAGCTGCCTCCTCCAGGATCAAACAGGTGTGGTCAGAAGATGATGAACAAGGAGGAGGTAGAAGAAGCCAATCATCCATATAATGATGAGACCAGAGTCCCAACGAACATAGATATCAAACAAAGGTCTTGACTACCTGATAAAACATGTAAGAAGCCGAGGCAAGCCTAAATGAAAGAGCTCAGAACTGGAAAACACACTCCTCGTGGACAAACCAAAAAACTGACATGAAGATGGAGAGATGAGATTTTGAAGGTATGCATTCGCTGCTTGAAACTTGGTCATCCAAAGATCTGGAGTGAAAACCCAATGAAGGACCAAAAATGACTCCATGGTGAAACATGGAGGATCCAGAAACTGATTTAGATGGGAGAGATCAATGACAGATCTCCAATCCCTGGTTTTCTTGGGGACAAAGAAAAGCCAAAATTAAAAACCTCCTTAACAGGAAATGCCAGCTCAATAGCCTCCTTGAGAAGAAAGTCTCTCACTGCCTCTAACAGATGACTGCTTGAGACAGGATCCTTTGGATGAGAAAAAGGAAAGAGGAGGTGGCAACCATAATTGAAGTGAGAAACCCTCTGACAAAACCCATGGATCGGTAGTGAAGTTTCTCCCACAGGACTTAACCACACTGTGTAGTCAATCACAGAAAGGATCTGAGGTCCTCCCAAAAATTGTCAGCAGACTGACGAAAGGCCTTAGACAAAAGGTGCAAAGAAGAGAGGCAACACAAAATGTTGGTAAGTGTAAGACAAATCCTCAAACACTGTGCCTGTGACAATGAGACAGAAGCTTCAGGATTAGAACTCCAGTGGGGGTAAAAGCAGATCTAATTGTTGGGAATGCAAATGAGGATTTAAAGAATAATAAAATGCTAAATCATGTTGGTCAGAAACTCAGGGGGGGGGGGGTCGAGGCATACTAACCCCAAAACTTAACTGTGATAAAAACCACTGTGCATGAACTTCAATGTCAGATGAAGAAAAACACCAAATAGCCCAAATTAGGGATCTCACACAAAAGGGAAGGAGAGGCATCATATGAGAGAGGAGAAAAATGCCAAATGGAACAAACCTGTGTAATTAACTGGAGGAAAGGAGTAGAAGGATGAACTTCCTCAAAAGGTAAAGAACATGGCAAAGACGAGAATGTTTGGGATGAGGGTGATTTAGACGGCCTTTTTCCTGCTCCTCCAGCCTTAAGAGGTGACAGCCATTGTTGAGAAGAAGGCCCAGGCCCCACATAAGAAGCTAACTCCCAACAAACCAAGGCTTGCACTTCCTCATTAGACAACGACAATCCCGAGACCAGGATAATAAGAGGTTGCGTGTCCCCAGGAACTTCAGAAGCCATGGTAGTAATCATGGTCAATTTCAAATTCACAATAATATGTGTGAAAATGGTAATTAAGGTCAGTAACACACTAGAATGCAAGAAGTAGCAAAGTAAACTTATTCCAAAAAAAAAGAATAAATATAAACAAAGTCTGAAATAACAGGGATAAAAAATTATTGAAAACTGAAAGCAAGCAAGAAACATGTCTGACTCGTGCCAATCAAAAAGTGAGGTTCATGTAAAGTAGTACAGAGGGAGCCAGCTGCTCTAGGAGCGTGTGTTGTGCTCCTATTGATGGAGGGTTGTTGTATGCTCTATGCATGCTAAATGAACAGCTTGAACATATGGGGTAAAGAGGCTAGTGCATCAATGAAAAAATTTCTTTTAAATGAATTAGAGGGCAGTTGAAGATTGAGAAAAGCTATTGTGTAAGAGGAGGTATGTATTGTATCAAAATTACTAATTCAATATACATAAGGGACCCAAGAGATTAATAAATTCAAGACCCCAGTTCTTGTCACATGAAGTTACTTAACCCTCAAATCAAATGCAAGAATGGTATATTCCCTGAAGATTACACAAAGTGTTTTGACCTTTCAAATGATGATTGTAAAATGCTTTTAAACAAGTCATTCCCATTAAAAAACCTAAAAGAAATTTTGATCTACTCCCTGAAGAACTCACCTATATACATTTAGCAATCTGGTTAGGAAACAGTTGAACAGAATGTCTTTTCATCCTCAACATTGGATTTCATCACTTTTGCAGTAAATGCAAAATTAGTCTTTTTTCTCCCCCACAAAACTGTATTCAGAATCCATTATAAATACCACCCACCCACACCTAACACATATATTTATATACAAGTCTCAACAAGTAGTTTAAGAAACTAGAAAGAAAAGAAAAAAAATTATAAACTTGTAATGTGTACAAAAAATAAACAAAGAAGAGCTATATTTAAAGTTAAATAATGATAGAACTATGGTGAAACTAATTTAAGCAAAATATTACATTATTACAAATGATCGACATAAGGAAGAGTAAACTGTACAAAGTGAAAGAAAAGTGAAAAAACACCAAGTAATTGTATAAGTAAGGTATCACTTGTGAATAGTTGCCAAACTCATCACACCTACACAAACGGTTACTCAATATCGAGCTATCAGACAAAACTTGAAGACATTAAAAAATAATCAACAGATATTAATATTCTAAACAATGTATTTCAAAATTACAGTGCCAAATTATTTACAAAATAGCGTAAACACAAATCCTTCTGATTCTCAAACTTATTTTCTTAAAACTTTTAATAAAAAAGTTATGACCAGTCTGACTTTACAAAGCAGCAGTGTACTGAGCCAGTAGACTCACTTTAATGACAATAAATGATTTAATAATAAACTTAATATGAACATTCATAACATTAGATAGAAAATATCATTGACAGTGTGTAACCTACAAAATACACAAGTTGATTAATAACTAACATAACTAATGAGTTTTTTAACAAGTTTAACCTGTATTACATGCTTATTACATGTCATATAAGAATTAACCGAGTTATTTCTGTACTTTCAAAAATCTGAGGCTGTAACCCACAAGGTAATAATCATATTTTGCAAATAATCACATAAGAGTCTGATTAAATAATTATTAAATGTATATACACTCTAACCTCTACTAACAGTCATTTCTCATACTCAACCAATTTTTTATCCCCTCCCCAATTGTTTTTCCTATATATATTTTACTTCCTTTGAACAGCCACCCCTTTTAACTTAATGGCCACTAATTTCCCCATAATTTTTTATCTAATGCAAAATACACTCAAATTCAAACAAAAAGTCAGATATGCACAGGTTTAAGGAATGGGCATGTACTTATGGCAAGACAGTTGCAATTGGATATCAACAGTTATGCCTAAAAGAGTCCATACAATCACCTAAGTTTAATTATTAATAATTAACTAATTTTTATTCATTTATTATAATTTTATTTTCATTTATTACACCTAAATACTAAACACTAATTATTATTATTTGTTTATTTTACTTATTATTATTATACCTAGATATTAAGTACTAATTATATTTTATTCTTCATTACTGATTAATAACACTTAGGTGATCATATAGGTAGCTAATCATGATAACTATTCCATATGATTCCCAGATTTTCCAGAAGCAGTTGTTAGTCCACACAACTAACATATAGTTTACTAACCTTAATGACTTTGACACTGGTTACAATTATAAAACTTCAGTCAAAACATTAATACAGTGTACTGCGTCATTAAACATTGACAAAAATATTAAAAAAAAAACTTTTGTCCTATTTGCTTAAAAATAATAATAAACACTTTTAATAAATTTGTTTTTCCTATTAACTTTTCCTGTCTTTGAACTATATTTCTGGACACATTCTTTTAGTAAGTAGTATAAACAACAGGTACACTGAAACCCCTGTGCAATAGCCACCTCTGTTAAACAGTCAAAATGATCTCATCTCTTAGCTGACTGCTGAAGAAAAGTTAGGACTGTGATAAAATTTACCAGTGATGTATTTTGATTAGAATAAATTAATAATGATATTATGATAATGAAAATAGTAGTTTTATTTAAGCACATACAGTAGTATCCTCCTTGATGGGCAATAATGTGACTTACCTATTAGCCATCTATATTACAGTTGTAATATATATATATGTACTACATACTACAAGCACATCTGGTCCAGTTCCAGTAAGTGCAATAATACAATGTAACATTAAGAATTAAAGCTCTCATAACCACAGGAAAATTTCTCAGTTATATTTTCTCGTCACATACAAACATGACAGATATAAATATGATAAAACACTGTATGAATATACCAAGAAAATATTTTCATAAATTATTTTTTTAGTTCTCACACTGAGTAATGACTTAGTTGGATCTACAAAACATGAAAGTGAAATCAATCTCTTACTGTATTTATTTTTTTATTATTTAAGGATTTGAAGAGAAATTTTTTTGTGAACAAACCTTGTTTACTAGGTGTTCTGTAACCACCTCCCTTAGTCCTGTATATAATCTTTCTCCATGCTTATGTAGCACCATTGTATATGCATTTCTATAAAGTTCTTCAAAACTAAGTCCACCATTATTTTTTTTCTGAATTTCTTGAATAGCATTTTTTAACAATGCCCATATGTTTTGTACATACTTCTCATCCATAGTCATCTGAAATATAAACAAACTGTGGATCAAACATTAGAAACTGTATGCCATAAATATCTTTATCACAGCCATTTACAATTCAAGGCTGGTTAAAGAATATTCACAGTTTTCTATCTTGTCTTAAAATCAATAATTTAAAATCAAGTTAAAAGTTATAAATTCCATGTGTAATACATTATAGATGGGCAATTAGTGGAATCTGCTAATCAATTAATTGTTATTAATTGATTACATTCAAATAATTAATTATTCTCTCATGAGACTTGGATACTTGGAATAATCCAAAATAGTAATGATTAGTATACTAATTTTGATTAGTTGATTTTTTTAGCAGTAACACTACTCGATTAAGCTGAACAACATTGAATTAACTGAAAATAATATTGAGAAATCTCAAAGGCAATATTTCAATTACTCATATAGTTAGAATAATCAGAAACACTAATTTAAAATAATTGACTATTTTACATGATACCAAACAATCTAATTGATGCTCAAAGGTTATTTATTATATCAATTATTTCAGTTAATCACCAAGCTTTATAATACATGTAAGCATTGCTTGGCCAATCATAACTATAATTATTTCTGCTGATCAACCTCCTTCTCTTAAAAGCTTCAGCTCATGTTTTTTTGTACCAAGCAAAACTTTTGTGAAACATGTATCAACACACATACAGGTAAACATAGCATCATAAAAATACTTGGCTTGAACCAAAACAGTGGAAGCTATGATTCAGACATAAGTTGGAGCTATGTAGAAAAGGGAGAATGGGGAGTGGAGTAGCCAAGGACATCTTATGATTGCAGATTACATTGGTGATATCATAAAACAGTGCATCTTAGGAAAGTATTTATATACTTAAAAGAACAATGTGTGTATATGTGTGGAAATTTTTTTTAAATTTATTAGACTATGCAAAAATGAAAGTAGGAGCATACAACTACAGACAACGTCACCATATGCATAAGGGATGGTTGGGTATAGATAGTACTATGCATTGCAATGGGAAAGGTATTTGGGGAATGAATATGTCATCCTCAGAGCTCCATCTCAAACAGCAGTGTTTATGTTTTAAGGTTTTGAGCATGAATGTATTCATTTGTTTATAGGCACTTAAGATTTCCAGTACCACCACCCTGTTGAGTTGTGATACTTGCCCCAATACTCAGGTTTTTAAAGCACTGCTAGATAACTCATATATTTTGTCATTTTTTATCAGACCATTTAGCTCAGTGTCTTTTGTACTAAAGATGTTGGGTACTATGCATTCCGAAATAGGTTTAACCTCACAGTCACTGAGATGCCCTGCACAACCATCAGATTCGTTAAGAACTCTACATTGCTAACCTCATTCTTGAGTAGTCTAGGCAGGTCACTTGACTGTATTAATTACCTAAAATACACAGCACTGCCTATACATTTTATAAACTTTGTGCATTCAACTACAAAATACTACAACCAAAAAAACTGTTTTGTACATGACGTACCAGTTTTCCCCATAGTATGGTATTAATCCACTAAAATGTTTTCATTTAAACATTTCCTTTTTTCACATTAAAGTAAAATATTTTTGTAAGTGTATTATTCTAGAATACTTCCAATTTTTGTTCCACATTTTTTTATCTAAGCCACACTTTGCTAAGCATCACAAACAAATAACCAGTGCATGTACCCATGTTTCTTTTTATTTGCTTCTTACACTTAGGAAAGACAATTTATAATATAGCAAATCAAAGACTTAGAAATAAATCCTAATAAAATACTAACACTACACACTACAGTATTTCACTGAACAGCATTATCTGCTTTAAATATATTGTTTTTTAAGTGTATTTATCTGTGTAACCATGAAGATGTCATGTGTAAATACTTGGATCAACTGTTAGAAATCAATAAAAATCATACCCTAATATACACAAGTTACCCTTGTGGGAGACTGCACCTCACCTGTAAAGGGTATACTATTCACCCAATGTAAAAGTACGTGTCGCTATGTTGGGCAGAAAATATGTCCATCCAATTTGGAAGTGGACACATCAGATGCAGTAGAGTGGCTAAGGTGCACGAGACCATATTTGGTAGGTCAACTCCAGCCAAAAACCAGATGGCATAGGGAATTTGTCATCTAGTCTGTAGTAGGAGAAGGATTCCAACAGTCCTCACCTCAAGACCAGGAAGCAGAGGAGTACTCACCATCTACACCTACAGAACACCACCTCCTTACTCTCAAATGAGTGGAATTAGTCACACTCTGGAGGAAGCCTCCAAGGTCCACTACCCCAGTGGCTAGGAACTAATAAATGGCAAGGACTCCTGTACTCCACTGGGAGAGGGGGGAACAATGCAGTGGGTAGACCATATGAACACAACATCATAAGACAATGCATGGGTGACCAAGAAACCCTATTTTGAAAAGCAGGCTGGCACTGGTTTATTCAACTAGAATGTGAAGGATGGGCAGCAATCTCGACACTGCTTTACACATGATAGCCATGAGTTGGTACAGTCTGGCATGGCCATTATTTATGAAGCAGTCTTGTGGAACACCCAACCTCTTCAGTAAGCATTATAGACCTCTACAGCCATATGGTGTGGAATTACATTTAAGTATACCTGGACAGGCACCACTCATTACAGAGTGGTATCCAGTAAAGAAGAAAGGGCCACTGTAAGGAGAAAAAATAAAAAAATAAGAACCTACCCTTTCAGAATTGAAATGAGGTATGGAGAATGACAAAGGGTGGTAAGTGATAGCCAGATGAGGAGGAGATGGCCAAGTGATATAGTAGTGGACAATAAACATGTGAGGCATAGTCCACATGCCAGCCTACCTAATCTTTTCCAATGGACATTGGAAGTGAGAAGTCAGGGAAAGGGTGAGATGATGGATCTGGTAGGAGGAAACATAAAAAAAAAGAGAATCCTCGGATATTGATGCATAAGTGAGACGAATATGCTAGCAAATCCATCTGTTAAAGGTGACAGGAGAAATATCATGGGTAGAGTAGGAATTCCAGAGTATAAAAAGATGGGAACGAGAACCATGGAGGGAAGCTGTGTGGGTAACATAACAACACAGAGCCCATACCAAACAATAAAGACAATCTGGATCAGATCTGGAATACGAATGAGAGATGGAGGAGAGGTAAATAGGGGTGAAGGTGATGTTCCCTTCACACACTGCTGATGTCTTGGGGAAACTACAATCCGGATGAAGGAGAACTTAGGTATGGTGACAGAGGATATGGGAGATGTCAATAGCAAAGATATCAGATCTATGATGTACACATACAAAGAGGACTAAGAAATACACCTTGAGGAAGAGGTAGTAAAAGAGCAAGTGGCCAAAAGTTCAAAGAGAGGAAGAGTAAGGGCATGAAGGACAACACTGAGATTCCAGAAAAGGGGATCCAGCATTTGAAAGAAAAGTCAATGGGATTAGATGCCCCCTTGATTTAAGAGATGACAGTCAAACTGTTGGAATGAATCATGACGAAGTGGCCCCATATAACCAGCAGGAAATGATCCACAGCCAGGACTTACAAAATGTTAATGTGTAGTCATCGACCAGCTATCTCCTGAGAATCCAAGTACACACCCTATCCCATAAGAGAAGCATATGTAAAGAAATGCAAATTGGGACAGGGAGGAAGCAGAAGAATGGCCATTAAAGTGTTGTACCTGTCGAGCCAGCAGGCAAAGTCAGCTTGTAGGTAAGGAGGGAGGAGCATGGCAGAGTACAAGGGATCCAGAATGAGATTCCTTTGATTGTGCAGTACCTATTGAAGGCAATGCATGTGTGCATAAACCCAAGTGATGAGGGATTCTATGGAAGCACAGGTCCCCAAAAAAGAGAACCTCGTGTACAGGAAAAGGAGGAGACTATTTGGCTTTAGAAACTAAGAGCTCCATCACCTTCATAGAAGATGGGAAGGCCGAGTCCTACTGAAGTAGGTGTTGAAAAACATCCCCAGATGGATAATATACTGTGTGAGAGCAAGATGGGACTTCTCCAGTTTGACAAGCCATCCCACATAAGCCACCTCTTGTCGGAGAAAATGGGCATGGTTGTGAGAGACTTGTAGGGAACGAGCTAAAAGCAGCCAGTGATCCATATAATGGGGAAACTGCAAACTTTGTTTATGAATATGGCGGGCAAATGCTCTGACCACGCAACAGAAGACATATGCTGCCGATGACAGACCTAGTGGTAGAGCATGGAACTGAAACACCTGACCCCTGTGAATAAACTAAAGGTAATGTCTGAATGCTGGAGAAATAAGGCTATGAAGATAAGCATCCAAAACATCAACCTTAGTCATCCATAGACCTAGAGTGAATGACCTTCGAAGGGCAAGGAAAGACTCCATGGTGAACTAATGGACAACCATGAAATGGTTGAGGTTGGAGAGATTGATAACTGGATGCCAATTCCCAGTCTTCTTGGTAACAACAAACAGTTAGGAATAAAAACCCGGAGAAGAGTGAAATACTTGTTCTATAGCATCCTTGTTCATGAAATCTCAAATGGCCTCAGATAAATGCTGACAAAAAAGTGGGTCTCAAGGAGGGGGGAAAGATACAGGGCATGGGGATAAAGTGAAAGAGCAGAAAAATGAAGAAACAGTCCTTCTGTTAGAACCTGAAGTACAAGTGTCCATGGTGAAACGGTGCCATAGATGAGCAAATTTGGCCAACAACACCCTCACAATGCCAGAATCCATGGGACAGTCACTGGTGAAACTGATGTCAAAAAATGTGATAATGGGCAATTTGGCAATCTGTCACAAAAACCTTGGAATATGGCACTGGTAGAGGGGGGATGCAGAGGGCAAGACATGGGAACAGGATTGGATTGGGAAGGAATGTTGATGCACAGTCTCCATCCAAGACTAAATTATCAGGGAGATTCCCCCAAAACAGACTGGCATAAGAATGGAGCCAGATGGAATCTCATAAACAGGAAGCAGGTAGACACAAGTGACAAGAGAGCATTTCT